CGACAATTAGCGTTTGGAGTATTCTACCAGTTTCTCCGACGTATTTGCTTTGCCCGCAGCTGAGCCAGATCCGATAAACGACTCCATAGGTTTCCTGCGGTGGCAATGGGTTTTCTGGTCTCATCACCTGACGCCTTATGGTGGCCTCCGGTCTGTCTGAAACTTCAACCCGAGTGGTACGAGAAGATAACTAACGGCCTTCACCATCTCACTTGGTAGCGAGTTCCATAGCCGAATAATCCGTTGACTAAATGAAAACTTCCTACGGTCGAGCCACGTGCGTTCGCCCTTGACTTTGTAGGGATGGACGCGTAATTGGTTTGTATGGACAAACTCTAAGAAATCCTCCGGTTTCAGTGAGCATGCTTGCCCACGGAAAATCCGGAATGTCCAGAGTAGACTGCAGTTTGGTTGGCTATACGATAGGGGGAACAATACAAGCACATTTAGCCTTTCCCTCTCAGACAAATGCCTTAGACCATCGACCGTCTTCCTTGCTCTGCGCCGAACCTGTTCGAGTAAGTCAATGTCCCTCCTCATCTAGGCAAGACTGAAAATCAACGCGTACAGCATGATTCTGAAAAGACAAGTGAAATTTATATTTTTAGATTCGATTTCTTCATCTCTTGTACAGTTTTCCAGTGTGACTCTGGCGAAATTTCCTATTTTTAGTCATAAGTCATCTAAGCTCCCTGTCCTGTTTTGTCGATTTATCATAAAGCGGAAATAAAGCATCGTTGTTTTTCGACCAACATGTCCGCAATCATTTCAAGTTTTACCCGCATACATAAAAGGTTTTCCTCGTAAAATTCTGAAAAAAAGTTATATTTTAAATTATGAACCGTCTCAACTGACCACTTTTATTGTCGGTTTATTGACTAGTAAGTGAACTACCCTGTCATCTATTTTATCCTGAATAGCCTTATTATTCAATAAAAAGTTTACTCATAGTTGTGTTTTGCCACCTACGAAATTGTCATTTGCCCGTTTTTTAGTCTTGCAAAAGCAGCCTAACGCTTCTTCCGTTAGCTCATTAACATTTCACCTAAGAATCGTTGAAATATTTGAAGTAGCTTCGAAAATGAGGCTCGCGCGATTAAGTCGTAGAATGTCTTAAGCTATTAATGGTGTGGATGCTTCTAAATTAGTTGCTCCGATCTTCCGTCAAAGATCATCTGCTAAATCCCGCCAAATCGTCCCGCCTTTGCTCAGTACCAACGATACCTTCATTAAAGAGGATTCAGGAAAATCGGAATTATTAAATTCATTCATTGCCAAACATTTCACCATTAAAACTTATCCAATCCCTTTAATTCCTTCGCTGTCTGATGCATCTCACCGCATCATTAATTTTTCTCCTAAAACCATTCAATAACTGATAAACCATCTTACTAACTCTCACTCACTAGGCATGGACAATATCCCAAACTCTCTTATAAAACAGCTAAGAGATTTTCTTCCTCTGCTAAGCAAACACTTTTCAGCATTCCTCGTAAATGGCTTCTTCCCTGACTATGGGTAACCTTCTATTATTATTCCAGTATTTAAATTTGGCTGTCGTCCTGATGTTCATAACTATCGAGGTGTCCATAAAACACCCACTCTCGTCAAAATCTTTGAAAAAAATACCGATTTGAAAATTGTCGACTTTGGTCCATCCAATCAAGTTATTAGTCCTTCCTAGCATGGTTTTTTTTACCAGATCGCTCTTGTGAAACATGTCATCTATCGTTTCTCAATCTACTTGCTTCTCTACGTAATGACCATCTTTCTGTTGTCGTTATTTATTTTGATCTTAGTAAAGCCTTTTATAAAGTGCTACAAAAAAGACTCTTAGTTGAATTCGAAGATACGGGAATTTAAAATCCCGCTATGGACATTATCAGGTAATACCTTTTTAATCGTTAACAAAAGGCTTAATTGGGATCTTCACTTCTCAGTGAAAACCGTATTGTAAGTGATGTCATACAAGGTATCGTTTTAGGTCATCTTTTGTTACTGCTATACATAAATAATTTATCGTCGGCAGTTAAACATTATCCGTCAGTTATTTATGCCGATGGTCTCAAATATGAATATTCATTCAATAAATTTTACGAGCCTTCATTACCTGGAGCGAATCCATGCTGACTTGCTTGTTCTTTCAGCGTAAAGCTTAAAATTCTAATTGAATTCTCTCCGTCTAAATGTCGCCGTGTGTGTTTTGGACCTGATAGGCTACCCCATCCACTGATCTTTCGAGTCATATCTATGGCTAAATGTACCACCATCAAGGATTTAGGTTTAACTTCACAAATAATCTTGATCTCTTTCCTCGCACAGACGGAATTACAGTCATAGCCGCCGAGATTTGTGGCATTATACCGCACAATTTCTATCATCCCGAAGTAAAAGTAAGACCCTCTCAAATGTTTGTACTTCGCATTCTCGAGCATCGTTGCCGTTTCTTTGGTTTGATGAACAAGACTAGTCGTTCAAAAATTGAAAATGTTCAAAGACATTTTACTGGAAGCATTTAGGCACGGAACATCCAAATATGTCCTACTCAGATAGATGCCAGCCAAGAAACCTAAAGATTTATGTGCTCGAAGACCGAAATCAAAATTTTAAATCTTTTGAAGAAGAGGACACGATCGCAGGGACAAGAGTTTTATTAGCCTGGCGTTTCGGATTCCTGCTCGAATCCATCATCAGAGACATAAGCAGATAAGGGTAGTTCACGTACATGCGGCTGCAGTATTTATAGGATGCTGTAGCCATGCTACCGCATACCTATGAATATTCACGGTTCCCTCCCCTTCATCAGGGATCGTTGCACGTGGCGTGATGGCCGATATTCGCGTCGTTAATTGCTGCAATTTCAGCACGTGCGTTAGATGTTGATGTGATGATTGCTCGACCATCTGACGTGCTGACCCCGGTGTCGGAAAGAGTGTTCACCAGTGCGCTCCCCGCGTGGCCAATTACTCCGCCTAGACGAAGTCTCAGCACGCTGTATTGAATGGGAAGATCATTGCACTTGTTAACAGACTGGGGGCCAGTAAACCATGGGTCAAGCAGCTCCCGGCTCACGCGGTTGTCACCTCTTGCGAGAATTTCGGCCTCGTCAAATTTGAAAGTGTGGCTGGAACCCGTCGAATGAGCTGCAACTTGAGAGCTAGCGTCATTTCTCCTCACCGCTGCAACGCGTTCGGCCATTCGCGTTCGGAGATGTCTTCCGGTTTCTCCGACGTATTTGCTCTGTCCGCAACTGCACAAGATCCGATAAACGACTCCAGACGTTTCTTGCCGTAGCTTCAAATTTGACGAGGCCGAAATTCTCGCAAGAGGTGACAACCGCGTGAGCCGGGAGCTGCTTGACCCATGGTTTACTGGCCCCCAGTCTGTTAACAAGTGCAATGATCTTCCCATTCAATACAGCGTGCTGAGACTTCGTCTAGGCGGAGTAATTGGCCACGCGGGGAGCGCACTGGTGAACGCTCTTTCCAACACCGGGGTCAGCACGTCAGATGGTCGAGCAATCATCACACCAACATCTAACGCACGTGCTGAAATTGCAGCAATTAACGACGTGAATATCGGCCATCACGCCACGTGCAACGATCCCTGATGAAGGGGAGGGAGCCGTGAATATTCATAGGTATGCGGTAGCATGGCTACAGCATCCTATAAATACTGCAGCCGCATGTACGTGAACTACCCTTATCTGCTTATGTCTCTGATGATGGATTCGAGCAGGAATCCGAAACGTCAGGCTAATAAAGCTCTTGTCCCGGAGATCGTGTCTTCTTATTTAAGGCTGCTTTCTGGGACTCGTCTCTTCGCTTCTATTGGCAGTCTAAATCCTTCTCGAATGCCGGAAGTTACTCCTGTTTTTCGCCCATACTATATTCCCGAGTCTTCCTCGATTATACCTCCTCCCGCATCCTCCACTTCTATGCACTCTCTTTTTTGGCATCCAGGTATACTTTCCTCTGGATTAACCTTCCAATACATATAAGCTCTTTAGATAATTTACACTTGAGAGAAGGCTGCGCCTTTATCTGAATACTGACTCGATTAAACTTTAATTTTCCTCATCTTTTCCGGACGACTTACTCTATAACACCGGGAAAGTGCCACCGGGAATTTCGGACGCCGCCATTAAATTACGATGTCGCTCACATTTCCTGCTTTTGTGTATAGTATTGCTTCCTTCGGTTCCGCATCAGAAATGTTGATTTTTTGATTTTTCAGTTCATGCATCGTGCCTTTTGCAGAATGTGCTCTATCGACGCTCTTGGCGGATTCTTGTGTATTCCCATATACTAAGAAAGTATATTAGTTAAGTGGTGAACTCAGCAAGAGCTGATTTGTCATAGAGAACTGTCCAGCTACCGCTGAAGTTAACGGAGGTGTTCAGTTCAGTTCAGTTCAGTTTATTGAGGGAAATAGGCGTAAGCCTTTGAGTACCTTATTTGCAACGTAAAAAATGTGTGGTGTACAGATAGATGTTCTGGGCTGAAATAGTTCGAACACGCCCATAATGGTGGGACAAAATGAGAAGGAGTTACAGGGGTGAGCTCGACTTCTCATCGCTCTTCGTCATTTCGGAACATAAATATGTCCAGATTCTTCTTAAAAATTTGTATAGATGGTGACATCACAACATTTGCGGGAAGGGCATTCCATGGTTTGACCACCCGAACCGCGAAGGAGAACTTCCGCACATCCAGCCGTGCCTGCTGAGTGCGCAGTTTTAACGGGTGACCTCGGAGGTTGGTCGTGGTAGCAAATTCAAAAAAGTCTTCGAAGGCCAGACTGCAATCCAACCCCATTACAATGCGGAAGGCTTGCAAGAGATCTCCGCGAAGTTGCCTGTAACTCAAAGGAAAGAGGTCCAGATTTACTAGGCGGGTTGCATAAGGAAAGGAGCTTTGACCCCTAACCATCTTCGTGGCTCTCCTCTGGACTCTTTCGAGGCAGTTTTGATCCTCAACAGCCCACGGTCTCCAGGCTTGTATGCCGTACTCTAAATGCGGCCGGACGAATGTTCCGAATGTCTTAGAGAAAGCTTCTTCGTCAAAATCCATAAACGCACGCTTGATGGCGTACAGTACGGACATTGCGGTTTTTGCCACCCTCGAACAGTAGGGGGATGGTTTTAGGGAACTCGTTGTCAGCACACCGAGGTCCCTTTGGGCTTCGACCTCTTGTAGGGCTGCACCGTCCAGAAAGTAGCCTCTTGTGCTGGCGGATCTGGCTGTGTTGCCTAGGCGAAGTATGCTACATTTGGCAACGTTGAACCGCAGGAGCCAACGGTTTGACCACTCCTCCAACCGATTCCGGTTCATCTGCAGTCTTTCTTCATCGGCAGGACCCCGAATTACACTCCATATCTTCATGTCATCCGCAAACATTGCAACTTCACAGTCTAAATCTCTTGCGGCATCGTCCACGTAGATAAGGAACAAAATGGGTCCCAGAACTGAACCCTGGGGGACACCACTATCGGCCATAGCCGGATCTGATTTTCCCCGACCGATGCACACAACCTGGTGTCGACCCAAAAGAAAGTTTTCGATCCATTTAAGGAAGTTGCCACCGATCCCTATTTTTTTAGGTTTATGTAAGAGCCTCTGGTGTGGCACAGTGTCGAAAGCCTTCTGGAAGTCGATGAAGGCTATGTGGACCGCGTGCCTGTCGCCGAGAGCTCGGGTCCAGCTCTGGAGAGATTGCAGCAGGTTTGTCGTGCAGGATCTTCCTGCTCGGAACCCATGTTGGCATTTCGATAGCAGGCCGTGAACTTCCAGGAATTGCATCAGTTCAGTCTTTATGATCCTTTCCATAACTTTGCAGAGAATGCATGTCAAGCTTATGGGCCGGTAATATGTCGTCGCTGCCCTGTTACCTCCTTTGTGTAGCGGAGTAATATTCGCCAGCTTCCAATCGACAGGAAGTGTTCCAGTGTCAAATGACGTTTGAAAGAGCATCGACAAAGGCACAGAGAGCTCACTGGCAAGTTCCTTCAGAAGCTTGGGTGGAATCTCGTCTGGTCCTGGCGACTTCGATTCGTTCAATGCCTCTAATTCTCTTCGGACAATGCCTTCTGAGAAGAGTATATCACTGACGCTTGGAGTAGGCAGTTCTTCTGTGGAGGAAGGAAGGAACCTTGCCTCGTTTGTGTAGACTGATTGGAAAAACCGTGAAAAATACGTAGCTTTATCCATACTATCAGCGATCTCATCGCCATCAGTAGTCTTTATCAAAGGGATTTGATGCCTGTTCCTTGTAGTTCGTCGGAGGTAGCTGTAGAGCAATTTTGGGTTCTGCGTTGCTTTTTGTAGCAAGTTCTTCTCGCGTCTGCATTATCAGCTTCCTCAGTTTGTTCCTCTGTGTCTTGTAGGTGTTGAAATATTCAACTTGCCCATCTACTCAGTATTTTCTCCACAACTTGTGCTTCCTGTTGATTTCTTTCTTGAGGTTGCTATTTAGCCACCCAGGGCGTTTGTTCAGTCTTACACTAGTCAGTGGGCAGTGGTTGTTGATGAGCTGGAGAAGGACATTCTTGAACAGCTCCCAGTCATCGTTGGCACTTCCCGTAAACAATGAGCCCCAGTCAAGACCGGATAAGTCTGCCCTCATCTGATTGAAGTCGCCCCTCCAAACATTACGCCTTTTGTGGTCTGGAGTATGT